GATCACAGCTCCAGTGGTAGCGGCGGTCGAGTATCCAACCCCACAGATAGTTCGCCATTTGATTCAACAGCAGACGTCAAAATATGAGCTAAGGCTAACAGGATAACGCTGGCCGATATATCCTACCCAAGTCAAGGTTCAGGAACATCGTAAATAATAAAATACTCCCACCGGTTTGTCTAATCTCCTTAGAGTCGAGCCCAACCCCTGAGATAGTGGACGCCAAGATAAACCCACTGTTTTAGCCGCCGCAAGACGAGAACCAGATTGAGAACATGAAGTCCTTCAGCAACCAAGGTGTTTTAGATTCGATTCTGGGAGTAGGAGTCGAAAATCCGAACGAGACATAACTTCGGCCGGCAATGGCAATACACCAGACATCTGGATCACCATGTTCAGAACTATAGTCCAGTCCTATGTAACAATGGGGGTAATTGGACATGAAGGTTACAATCGAAGGTTGATGAATTAGTAGAACCCTATTTTCGCCACACTACACAGGCCTCACAAGGAAATATAACAGAAAGATGGCTAATTGACATTACGCACAGAGACGGAGAAGACTGTAATGACCAGTTCAAGTTTATTAGCCGTCATCAGCCAGCCACACCCAACCCCTAGGGCTCGAAATCGAGAAGTCCAACGTCCTAACCATTGAACTACGGGTCCGCTGTCCCGATCACAAGGAACCCATACCTCATTTGTTAGGATCTGGGTTATCGCTGGCTGATGACGGCTAACGAATCGGAAATGGCCAGTCGAGTCTTCCTTGTCCTTGCTGAGAATGTCTTTGGGCCTATAATATACTAGCCACTGGGCGGCTAATGGCGAAGCTCTAGATTGAGTCCCAAGTCACAAGGAGATGAGTATGTTACGTAACGTGATCGATGAGCACTTCACTACCACCGGAAACACCAGAAAGTAGAACACAGAGTTAAGCTTTTATACGTCGAAGTATTTTCTGAAAGTAGCTAGGCAATATGACACAGGCATGAAAGACGGATGACAGAGTGATAAAATATCAATATAAAACTGTTTGGGAAGTAAAAGAAGACTAATGTGTCATAAGGCAGACGGTAGAAACACACAAGACGAAGGCATCTCAGGAGATCAGTCAGTGCTCTTCCTTCAGGCTGTACATATCCTTGCGAAGTTGGTGCCTAATGGGGATGTTAGAGCGCACACGATCCAACTCGGCTCGAGAAACTTCCACACAGAAGT